CGCCGTACGGGTGGACGTGAGGCTGCCGCGGCAGGACGCTCTGGTCCTGGAGGGCGTCAGGATCGGCCCCGAGGCCGACCCGGCACCCGCGCTGGGCGGCCGCCTGCTGCTGGTGAGCGCAGCCGAGCCATCTGGCCCCGGCCCGCCCCGCCGTAGACCCCGCACCCAGATCCGGCCTTTATCCTGGACCGAGCCGTAGCAGCCGAGCGCCCCCTCCCCGAGCTGCCCAGGCCTCAAACCCCGGCTTCCAAAACCTGAGATCCAGATGCCTTCCCCTTCAAACTCGCTCCCCAACCCTGGCCTTGCATCCCCTGTGTGTCCAGCCCCCCTTCCTCCCCCCTCCTCCCTCTGCCCATGGTCCCTTGCCCCACAGATGGACATCGTGGATGCTGAGCAGGAGGTGCCCGTAGAAGGCTGGATTGCAGTGGCATACGTGGGCAAGGAGCAGGCGGCCCAGTTCCACCAGGAGAGTCAGGGCAGCGGCCCGCAGGCCTATCCCAAGGCCCTGGTCCAGCAGGTGCACGGGGTGTATGTGGGGAGGGGGGTTGAAGGAAGGGGTTTCAAGGCATCTGCCAGAGCCAGACTACCAGGTGGGCCCCTAAGGAGCTTCCAGAGAAATCTTGGGCCTGGATGAGGTGAGGGACCCCAGTTTGGAAAATTGAATCGGTATGGAGTGGAAGCAGGGAGGTGGGAGGAGGCCAGACAGAGTCAGGAAGCTCCACCAGGCTCTGAGAGTATCAGATGCGGAGTTCCTGCTGAGAGTTGGTGGGCAGGCCTGTCCTACTAGGGAAGGCACATAATAGTTTGGGTCCCACAGAACATCTGGGGGAATGGCAGGAGGAATAAGTTTCTGCCCTTGACCTCAAGGAGTGTGCAGCCAGTCTGTCCAGAGGAAACACTCACTGCAGAGCCAGGAGCTAAGAACTGTGGTCGTGGGTAGTGAGAGAGGTGTGTGGGCAGGGTGCCAGCTAGCTTCTACCTCTGTCCCTTGCAGATGCGGAGGGCACTCTTCCTGGGAGCCTCTGCCCTGCTCCTCCTCATCTTGAACCACAACGTGGTCCGAGAGGTAAACCGGTTCAGGCAGTGGGGGTGTGCAGGCCAGGGAGGAGGGGACCAAGGCCAGCTGACCTCCTTGTCCATCCATCTACAGCTAGACATATCACAGCTTCTGCTCAGGCCAGTGATTGTCCTGCATTACTCTTCCAATGTCACCAAGCTGTTGGAGGCACTGTTGCAGTGAGTTGGGGTTTAGGCTCCAAAGGACTGGGCCTGGGAGCCTGGGTGCTGAGGGGTCCCTGAATCTGCCATGGTCTCAGGGGTCTTTTCCTGTTAACCTTAAGACCGTAGTCTCCTGGTCTGAAAAATGGGTGAGGGGACTGGAGCAAAGAGGCAGCTCTAGGGGCAGAGGGGAATTGGCTCCAGCAAGGAGGGAGCTGGATTCCTGATTGACAGGTTCTTTCTGAGACTTGCAGGCCTCCCTGGCCTGGCTGATGTGAGAATGGAAAAACCAATGACCAGAAAAGGCCTGGGAGCCAAAGCAGAAGGGCTGTGGGATGATACTTGGGAAGATCTTTTTCCTACAAGGCTGAGATGGGTGGGTCTGGACCTCTCCTCCCAAGAGCCCTTCTCTCTGGCCCCTCTTTGGCTTTCCGTCCCAGGAGGACTCAGGCCACAGCCGAGATCACCAGCGGAGAGTCGCTGTCAGCCAACATCGAGTGGAAGCTGACCCTGTGGACCACCTGTGGCCTCTCCAAGGATGGCTACGGAGGATGGCAGGACTTGGTGTGCCTGGGAGGCAGTCGGGCCCAGGAACAGGTGGGTGCCTGGGGAGAGGGGACTCGGATGGCACTGCACACATGCCTTGTCTCAGATCCTGTGGCCTCTCCTCACCTTGGTGGCCAGGACTGCTGCTTCCACGCCCCAGGGCTGTAATGAGCACTCATTGACAGGGTGGGTGCTCAGTGCAGTGCCTGATGGGGCCATGCATAATCAGTGTTAGTTACTATTGTCATGTTATTCTCCCGCTTAGAAGCCCTCCGTGGCTCCCTATTGCCTGCAGAATAAAGTTCAGACTCCTTAGCCTAGCTTTCACAGCTCTCCTGTTTACTCGCCTATCTTTTTTTTTCTAGTCTCTTCCTTATACCCTGTCACCCTATGCCATTTCCTGGCCTTCATACATGCCCTGGCCTCCTGCCACTAGGCCTTGTCCATCCTTGGCTGCAGGCATGGACACTTTCTCTGTCTCCATTTGTCCCCATCTGCTTGCCTGCTTTGGAAGGCTTCCCTCACAACCTCAGCCCACCGTCCCCCTCTCCCTCCTTCTAAATTGCAGCAATGCTTTGTCAGACCCTTCATAGTGTTCTTAGGATAGCCCAAAGTGTCTAAGTGTTGGGGAATGTGACTTTGTCTCCCGATGGCTGGGGCTGTGTCTTACTAGTCTCTGGATTTCTCAATGCTGGGCATCAAGAAGGTTCAAATTTATTCGGTCCACAAGCATCTCGCGAGTCCCTGCTCTGTCAGGGCGGGCATGTCCTTTCTCCCGGTGGGCAGCCTCCAGCAGGAGTCAGTGGGATTGGGCCATGCGAGGCAGCTTCAAAAGTCAGGCAGACTTGTGGACTTAGCTGAGTGATCTCAGGTTGAGCGTTTAACCTCTCTGGTCTCATGTTCCTTGTTTGTGAACAAGGACAGCACACGGCCACGGGATTGCCAGGGGGTCATGTGTACATAAAGTTCACGGTGGGCATGGTGCAGGTGGGCCGCTGCTGCTACTCTGAATGTGTTTGTTATAAGTGCTTGAATAAATTAGCAGTCACCAGATAACTTTTGAGGTCCTAGGACATGTAGGGCTCAATGAGAAGGGCTGGGAGTGTCCAAGGTACCTGTGAGAACTGGGCACTGTCCTGAAGGGGCTCAAAGACAAGTAGGGAAGGGACTCTCACACAATAAGGCCTCGGCAGTTCAGCCCAGGCACCATGTGCTCATTCCTATTTGAGCAGCAGGAACTGAACCACAGTTGTGTGAAGGGAGCGGGCACCGGGACTGGGGGGGAAGGAAAGGGCTTTCTGGAAGAAGAGGGAGCCCTACCGGCTCTCCCCGTGGAGGGCAGCCCACACAGACATCTGGGCGGCGCAGGCATTTGGTGAGGGGCTGTCAGATGAGCGAGGAAGTGCCTGCAGAAGGGCTGGAGCTAGGGGAAGAGCGGGCTGGGCGAGGGGCCTGGGAGTGGGAATGTATGCAGTCCGCAGGTCAGTGTGGCTGGTACAGAGGGCAACGCTGAGCAGCCGTGCTGCCAGCCAGGGTGGGCCCATGCAAGTGCCGGGTAGCCATGATAGCCAAGGTGGCTTGAGGGTGGTTGGGGCCAGCTCTCAGCCCCAACCCTAGGGCCCAGCCACCGTCCTTCGAGCCTGGGAATCCAGAGCTACAGCACCCATGCATCAGAAAGGTCAGGTGGACCGCTCCATAACTGCTCTGATGGACAGACCCTGCCCTCCCCCCCTCACCCGGGGGTCCCTAAGATGTGCTGAGCCTGAGGAGACCGGGTGTCCAGCCTGCAGCAGGCCTCCAAGCTGGCCATGCCCTTTGCCCACCCAGTGCGCACAGGCTGCTCCAGAGCACGGAGCTCCAGGTTCTGCCCTGGCGAGCTTACACTGCAGTGGCCACTCAGTGAATCCTGCCACGTGTCCGCCTGGCTCGGCAGGGCCCAGGGCACAAAGGCAGGGCAGCTCCAGCCCTGGGCTCCTGGGGCCCCATCTGGGGAGGAGAAAGGCCATGGCCGTCACTCTGCTGGGGTGAGCACCGAGCTGGGGGTAGGCATGGGCCTCCGGAACACAGTGGACACATCTGAACTCAGCCTGGGGGCTTGGGGAGAGCTTCCCGGAGCAGGTGCCACCACCTCCCACTCCCCAGGGAAGATGGGGGCACAGAGACCAGAGGGGAGAGGGGAGGAATGGGCAGCTGGGGCTCACGGACATCTCTTGCTAACGGCTTCTCGGGTGCCTGCACTCTGAGCAAGAGCGGCGTCTTGTGACACCAGCCAGCACCCAGCCTCGTCCAGAGTGGTGTTCTCTTTTAGCAGCAAATCACTTCTCGGCCCCTCTCCCCCAACATGATGGTAGTTGAACTTCATCGTTGGCTGGGGAAGAACATGGTGGCAGAAAACTACTAGGAACGCGGACAGCTTTTAAATGAATGCATTTATTAGTCAGGACACATCCAGAGACCCTGTGAGCCGGTGTGCCTGTGTGGGTGAGCCATCTGGGTTTTGCTTACTCTGCCACATCATTTCCTGAGCCAGCTGTTTTGTAGTCAAAGCCCAGCTGCCACACTGCTATGGGGTGGGGGGAGTTAAGTCAAGGTCAGTGTGTGCCCCCCCATCCCCGCCCCAGGAGCTCTGAGGTCCCGAGGGGCCTCTCAGATGTGGATCCTTCCCACCAGCAGGAGCCTGAGGACCACGAGGGCAGCGATGGGGAAACACACAGTAAAGAGTGTGAGGAGGGCTGGGCTGGGCAGGGGGAGGCAAGTGGGGAGCATCTGCCTAGCCCTGGTAGTCAGGGAGAGCTCTGGAGCAAGGGGGATCTGAAGGCATTAGCCGAAGGAAGGGGTGAGGAAGAACTGGGAACACGAGAAAGAGCAAGGAGCATGGACCCTGAAAGGACAGAGGGGATGGGCGATCTAGGGCCTTGCCATATGGCTGCTAGAGGAGTTCGGGGTCTCTCCTGAGGGCGGGGGCGTCGCAGGGAAGGGTGTCAAGCAGGGGTCCTGCGTGATCAGGTTTGCAGATGAGATCCTTGTCGCTGTGGGAAATGGGCTGGTGAGGCTGGAGTAGGGCCCCCAAAGAGCAGAGGAGTGGGATGGAGGGGAGGGGTGCATGAGCCACCTAAGAGCGAAGCCACGGGACCATGTGAATGCTCGGCCCAGATGGAAGTGGGTGGGGATGGAGGTGGGAAAGTGATAGGGTCCTGGGCTGGGGAGTCTGTGAGGCTGCCAGAGAGAAGTTCCAAGAATGCAAAAAACACTGAGTTTGTTGCCCAGGAGAGGGGCTGGGGACAGATGTGGGTCCCCTCAGCAGCTGGATGAGGAGCTGTATAGACAGCGGGGGCAGACCTTGAGGGCACAGATGGGAGGCACGCAGGCTTCAGAAGAGGCAGCCAGGAGCCTGCAGGGACACGCTGCCAATGGACCTTACCTGCCTGGTCCTCGGAGTGGATTCACTAGGGAAGAGCGTAGAGCAGCCCCAGCATCCCTGACACCCTGTTCCCCTGCCCAGAAACCCCTGCAGCAGCTGTGGAACGCCATCCTGCTGGTGGCCATGCTCCTGTGCACAGGCCTCGTGGTCCAGGCCCAGCGGCAGGCGTCAAGACAGAGCCAGCGGGAACCTGGAGGCCAGGTGAGAGCCAGCCCCTGGGAACCCCCGTGCCCCCAGCCCTCCAGCCTGCCTAACTGTGCCTGCCCTCCCCCACCAGGTGGATCTGCTCAAGCTCCGCGTGGTGCGGAGACTGGCATCCCTCAAGACCCGGCGCTGCCGTCTGGGCAGGGCAACCCAGGGCCCCCCAGAACCCGGTGCTGAGACCTGCGCCGTGTGTTTGGACTACTTCTGCAACAAGCAGGTTAGTGCCGCGGGCAGAGGCCAGCCGTCAGCTGACCTGTGATGTCTCTCACTCTACTCCCGAGAGACCCCAGAACCGTTCCTACCAGGCCCTTATTCTCTCAGCTCCTACTGTAACTAGGAAAGCAGAATGGGGTGTTGGCGGGGGAGGGTGACAGGCCGCAGGGGTTTCAGTTCCCCTGCACAGGTGGGGGGGCCAGGCAGCCCCACTTGGAGGCCTGACTCTGGCCTGAAGCCTTCCCCCACACCCTGCAGTGGCTCCGGGTGCTGCCCTGTAAGCACGAGTTTCACCGAGACTGCGTGGACCCCTGGCTGATGCTCCAGCAGACTTGCCCGCTATGCAAATTCAACGTCCTGGGTAAGCACCAGGGGTGGGGGCCCTTGGCTGGCTTTACCTGCTCCCCACCTGACACCTCCCTCCCTGTTTTTTCCTCCTCCCCTGCAGGGAACCGCTACTCAGACGATTAGCTGCCCCCGCTGGGTCTCTGCATGTGGGCAAAGGACCCTCCCACCTGCACCCTGGCCCTCGGCCTGGGCTCCTGGAACAGTACAGCGGGATGGACAGGAAGCCCTGCTGGTTGGAGGAAGGATAGGGGCCTCCCCTGCTGAGGGGCAAGGCACCCCATCATATTCATACTGGGAAGGAGGGACCACGGCCCCCAGAGTCTGGACCTGCCAGTCAAGAAAGAGAAGCCACTTTGGGGCCCTTCTCTACCATCCTGGGGTATCTGTGTCTGCCCTCCTCGAAGGCAGCTCCCAGGACCCTGGGCAGCGGCCTGGGGAAGGAGGTTGTGGGGCAGTGCAGCTGTTCCCAGGGCTCTGGTGGCTCTCTGACCTGTCAGGCCATCCCTGGGGACTAAGGCTGCAGTGGCTGGCCGGGTTTTGTGCTTATTTATTGGGGGTTGGGTTGTGGGAGGAGCTATTTGGCCTTGGGGACATCCTGGCCTGACCGTCTTTCAGGACACATCTTGGCCAAGGCTGTGATGTTCAACCCACAGGCCCCTCCACAGATACTGCCCTCAGCCCTTGGACACTAGGAGCTGCAAGTGGCCCTGCCTGTTCAGCTGGGCTCCCTTCCCAGGCCTGGCTGGGACCAGAGGCCTCGAAGCCATCCAATCCTGTGCTTCTTGGCCGGGCTATAGGTTGCTGACCAGGATACTTGAAGCTGCAGGATAAATGTGGTGCATCTTTTAGGGACAGCTGGTTTTTTTAGATTTGGGGTAGGGGAGGTTTAATATTGAAGTAAATATGGATATATTTTTAACATAAGAGATCAGATTTGTGTGGATGTCTTAAGACAGAAAAGTCACCTTGGGCTCTGCTGTCTGTGGGAGGGAGGTTCTAAGACGGGTCCCAAGATCCCCCCCCGCCCAGCCCTCATGAACACGCCTTGTAAACCTGCAACTGGGAGTCGAATGGATTTTACCCCCATGATTAGGTTATATTTTATGGCACAGTTGACCTTAAGATGGGGAAGGTATCCAAGAGGGCCTGACCTAACCACGAGAGCCCATTAGAAGCAGAGTTTTCTCTGGCCTGGTGGAAGAAGAGGAAGTCAGAAAGTTGAAGCAGGAAGGGCATTCAGTGCATGACAAATTCTCTGTTGCTGACTTGAAGATGGAGGGGGCTAGGCGGCAAGGGAGGCAGACGGCCTCTAAGCGCTAAGAGTGGCCCCTGGTGACAGCAGCCACAGCAAGGAGGTGGACCTCAGTCCTACAGCTGCAAGAATCGGAATTCTGCCAGCAATCAGAACGAGTCTGGGAGTGGGTTCTTTCCCAGAGCTGTCAGAAAGGAATGTAACCTGGCAGATACTTTGACGTGAGTCTTCTAAGATCCTGAATGGAGAACTCAGCCACAGGGCCCGAACTTCTGACCTCCATAACTGTGAGCAGGGGGGAGCTGAGCTGTGATGGGTCCTCCCCCTGGACTTGGGCCCACGCCTCTTGCCTCAGGGACCCCACCCCAAGGGCTGGCTCTCGCCTGTGAAGGGCAGGGCCTGGGCATCCCAGTCTCCCTCAGCAACGCCAGGCTCCACAGAAGCCAGAGTTGGGCAGGTAGTGGCCATGGCAGTTCAGCTACACACATGGCCCTTCTCGGCCCTTCTCTGTAAACTGAGGCACTCTACCTGTTGGCCTTCTCACCAGGGGAAAATGTCATAGGAAGCTGGGAGTGCCCACCCTGAGAAGTCCTGAGCAAGGCCTTAGAGCCTGTCCTTCACTGACGCGGTGACTCAGGGCAGGCTGGAGGCTTCGTGGAGAAAACTGGACTGTGGGCCTGGCGCGGCTGGGTGGCATGAGTGCTGGGGCCCCAAGAGACAGGTCTGGGAAAGCCAGGGCTTGCTGGGTGTCCCACTGTCTGGTTAGGTGAGGCCTTGCCCTGCCTTCTAGGGATCCAACCTCCTGGATTTAGAGAAACCCTTTGTGACTCACATTTCCTGAAGGTGAATAGTTCCTTAGTAAAAGGAGGACTGACTTTCTTGGGTCCTTAATGTCCCCATCCTGGGTTCAGGGCTGGGGCTGGGGAAGGCTTCCCTGGCCTTTGCCTGCCTCTGTGAGCCCAGAGCCGGGACCCGAACTTCTGGTTCGGGACTCCTTCCTCACTGGACCTACCTTGGCAGCTGCTTTCCTTCCCTGACATACCCCCTACCCTGACCCTGCTCTCCATTGGTAGGGGTCGCTGAGTCCATGTCACCGTTTTGCCCTTGCTATGGGGGTTAGAAGACTGCCTTTGGCCTGGCCCAGGTGCTAACGCTTCTTTCTGTCCTTGGTGTGCTCTCTTCTCCCACTGCCCTGTCAGGACAGAGGCAGGGAGCGCTCACTTACTGAGGCCTCACAGTGTGCCAGGCCTCTGCTGGCAGATGACCTGCAGGGCCTGGGGACTCGGTGATCCCTGCCCAGAACGGGGAAGGAAGGACTCTGCCTCTGGCTCAGCCACTGCTGTGAGGCCAAGGGAGCTGTGGGCACATGGCTGGGGCTTTATTACATTGAAGGTTGCCAGCTACCTGCCCTCCAGCCCCACCGCCCGGCAGGCTACGTGGGCCGCTCCTGGGGCTGGTATGCAGGGCTGGCCTGGCCCTGGCCTGGTGACAGTCTTCTCCTCAGCCTGGCCAAGGCCCGGATGGGGTTCTGAGCACAGTTGGTTGAGTGGGTCATGTCCTCCAGGGAGGACCCGCCGGGCCGACTGCAGGATGGCTGAGGTGGGGATGCCTGGCGCTGGCATGGTAGGGTCCTGCCCGCGCTGGCTGTCCTGCGGCTAGGCAGCTGCCGCCTGCCCAGGGGCCTGGGGGAGGACCAGATGGCAAGACCCCCTGTGAGTGAGGGGGACCAGCCCACCCCTGTCTGCCCCACCTCCATCAAAGCCTTACTCACCCTGGGGATGCGTTCTGGGCCTGGGCTGGGGACACTGTTCCCTGGATTCCCTTGCTGGGAGGGGCCCAGAGCTGGTCCTGGGGGATCAGCTGCAATGAAAGGCAAATTCAGACAGGCCCAGGAAATCTCTCTACACTGTTCAGCAAGGGTGTCATCGCCATGGAGGAGAAGGGAGGGCCCAAACCCAAACCCACAGCCCCTTCCTCTCAAGGGCAGGGTTTGGGGAGCCTTCCAGGGCCACCCCAGCCACAGTAAGTGTGGGAAGTTTGGCTTTCTGACAAGGTTCCTGGTTGTCCTTGAAATAAAGGCAACAAGAGCTGGAGGGGGAATTTTGGAGCCGGTAGGCACTGTACCACCCGCATGCCTGCTTGAAACGCGGAAACCACATGTGATGAGGCAGGCTTGCAGTAAGTAGGTTCCCAGGGTGGGGTCTGAAGACCTGCTGGGTCAGGGGCCTCCTCCAAGTCCCCAGGGGCCAGCCCTCTCAGGTTGAGGAGCCAAGCTGCCCACCTTGAGGCTCCCCTGCTGGGCTACCTCCCGGATTTTGGACAGCATAGACCGGAGCCGCCCATTCTCCTCCTGCAGGACCCGGATGCGGATGTCATTGGCCTGTACCTGCCTCTCCATGTCATCTGTAACATCGCCGGAGCCTGCAGGGACATACTCTCTGTTACCTCACCCCGCCAGGGCTGCCTCTGGTGCCCAGTGGAACAGGACCTCTGAGGGCACACACGCCAGCTGGGGTATGCCTTGGGTTGGTGGCCTGGCGAGCACAGGGGAGCCGAGCAGGTCCGGGCACCAGGCACCCCCCACCCCATCTTCCTTCTCCTGAGGCCTTGTCCTGGTTTCCCACCCCCTACCTGCTGGGAGGTGACCAGCATTGTAGAATTTGAGAGCTGAGTGGGACCTCAAGCTCACTGAAGACTTTGTAACTAGACAAGAGAGTGAATCTCTTTCAAAGCCTCCTGTTTTCAGAGGGCCAGAGAGACAGCAAGGTGTCTCAAGTCACGCAGCCAGCTCTTGGGTATGAGTCACAGGAATTCAGCAAACACGTTCTTTCCCACCACTTGGGAGAGGAATGCTTTCTTTCTGACTCTGAACCTGAGCAAGTTGCTGCCTGCTTTGGTTCTCGGTCTTGTGGTTTGTGAAAGGGCTGTTACCCATCTTATGGGGTGGATCAAAGGACAACGGAAGGGCCTGGCACATAGTGCTCAGGACTGATGACTTATCGTGACCAGCTAAATTGCAGTGGATCTTCCCGACAGCTCCACAAGTGGATTCACCACCCAGGGGTGAGGGCTGGAGGGCCTGAAATGAGAACCTAGGTTGCCTAGCATCTAGTCCTCTGCTGAGACAGGTACCTAGCACTCCTGTACCATGGGGTGTGTGACACTGGACACTGGACAACTGGGGCGGTGCCCCTGAAGCTGACCCCGTGGTATGGTTTGGGGAGACACCAGGACAGGGGACACCAGGACACTGAGCAAGGACTGGCATGTAACATGATAAAGAGCACAGGCTACAGAGGCGGTTAGACCTACACACAGACTCAGCCATTCGACAGTGGGCAGTCCCCTCGCCTCTGGGCTTCTGTGTCCCCATCAAACAGAGTGGCTAACACATGAAGCACCTGTGTGTCCTGGGGACTCAGTAGGGACCGTGCTGCAGGCTGGGGAGCTACAGACTCCAGTGTCTTGCCCAGGTGAGCCCTCAGCTGCCTGTCCGGGCCACAACATGCCCTGGCCACCACCTCTGGGCCCCTACTTGGGATCTGGGCCTCGATGGGTCTGTGCAGGTCTGGAAAGGCCACCAGCAGCCGCTCCCGCTCCCGCAGCTCCACGAGCTCTCGTTCCAGCTCCGATATGGTCAGCCGCAGATCCGTCGTGGCCTGCTCCAGGCCTTGCTTCTCCCGTTGCAGGCTCTGCAGCAGCTCCTGAAGCAGGGGGAGGCTCAAGCCTTGCCCAAGGAATGACTCCCGGCTCCCCTGGGGACACTCCCCTCCCATCTAGACACGGGACAGGCCTGCAGGCACTCCGCCTGGAGAAAGGGAAGAGCCGTCCCGCAGCCTCACCCTGCTGGCTCCTACCTGCTGGGCCAGGAGCTGGCTCTGCCCCTGCTCCCTCTCACTCTGTACACTCTGCAGCTGCTCCTCCACCTGGGCCCGCCGGGCCTCGGCCTCGTCCAGGCTGCCCCGCAGCTCCTCACGCTCCCGGTCCAGGCTGTCCAGCTGCTGCAGCAGGACTCGCTGTTTGGACTGCAGGGACTGAGCCAGGGCGGGCAGGCAGGGAAGCCATGAGGCCCACGGGGCAAGGCCCAGCCATGGGACAGGGGAGGACACGGTATCTCTGACCCTCCTCCTTGTGCCCCGTCTGTGCAGAGAGGAGGCTGTGCACATGTGTGTAGCAGAAGGGGCCGAGGCGAGACAGGTGCACACCCCACTGGACCCCTCCAACCCAGTCAGGGCCAGGCCCCCCAACTTGCAGACCCCTACCCCTTTGGAAAGCATTTGATTGACTATCAGTCTCGTCCCCTCTCTTTCCAGTCACAGTCTCCACTGGGAGAGGAATTCTGGGCATACATTTTCTTCTCCTTAGGTCTCCCGTGTCCCATCAGCCCACCTCACTTGGGACCCACTTTTCCTGACACCCACTGAGTGCAAAGCAGGAAGAACCAGTGCCGGTCTGCTCCAAGTCCTGGCTCTGCCTCTGGCTAGCTGTGCAGCTTTGGGTAATTTCCTTAACCTCCCTGAGCCTCAGTCTCCTCATCCATAAAATAGGGATGATGAGAGTATCTACCTCCTATTGTTGTGGTGAGGAAGAACAACAAGAGGGCTACAGAGTCCGAGGCCCTGCACCTTGTTCACAGCACATATCTGATACCTGGTGACCATGACTGTTCGCAGGGCACTGAGAAAAGCACCTGCTTGGCATTGAAAGGCTTTCTCAGCCTGGGCCATGCCTGATGGTGGGGACTTCTACCTGGGGTCTTGCTTTCCCCGCTGAGCCTCTGAGAGTAAGACCAGTCAGGACAGTTCTCAGCCCTATCCCCTGCTCTAGGTGGCAGGTCACTTGCTCCCTCAGCCCTACCCTTAAGGATTCCTACAAGGCCCCAATGCCCAGGGCACAGCTGTATCCTGGGCCTCGGCTCACCCTTTGTCCTCCCTGTCCTTCCTCTGACTGATGGACTAATCATTAGCCCTTGGCATCCAGTTCAAAGGCCACTTCCGCCCAGAAGCCATCCTGGATTTCCACAAACAGATGGGGCTGTCCCTCTGTGGACCCCTACAGTACTTTCCCCGCACCTCTTAGCCATCTGATGGCAGAGCTATGGTGGCCTAGCTGCTTGTCCTCAAGGGGTGGCGGGGCGTTCCTCCAGAACAAGGCCTCCTTTGGCTGTATCTGTCCCTAGATCACTGTTTCCCCAGGGCCCGGGGTTCAGGGGAGGGCTCAAACTCTTGGTAAAGATCAAACAAAAACCTGGGTGTGTGTTTGGGAGCAAGGTACCCTACCCAGGTAAACCCCCATCCCCCACCAGTGGAGCACTCTCTTCCTGCAGCCTACGTCACAGACACCCCCAGGTGCTGGGGGCCTCACCTCCTGGTGGCGGACCATGCTGTCAACACGGGCCTTCTCCTTGTCCAGCTCTGTGCTGGCCCAGCGGATCTGCTGGCTGGCCCCATCCAGCCGCCCTGCTAGCAGCTGCACCTGCTCCTCCAGCTGCTGCACCTGCCTCTCGGCCTCTGCCCTGCGCTCGGCCTCCTCTTGAAGCTGCTGGGCCTTTGTCTCTGCAGGATTGAGTGGGCACGGGAAGGGGGAGAGCAGGCGAAGCCTGGGTGCAAGTCCCCGCACTGCCTCTGACCCAGGATGGGACCTGAGGTGGGGTGCAAGGGGTCACAGCCTGTCTCTGGGCCTCAGCGTCCTCAGCACAAAATGCGGCTCTCAACCCTTCCATGGAAACAGAAGGTGCTCTCTGGGTGGGAGGTGGCACCCCAACTCCGGCCATCACCCAGCAGTGTGGCCAGTCAGGCCCCATCTCATGGTTCCCAGGAGCCCGGGGGACAGACAGAGGGTGCTCATCCAGCTGCACCACCGAGCACAGCACACGGGGTACAGGGCCACATGATGGGGTTCCTCACCTACGGCCTGCATGGATTCCTGTTGCTGCTTCAGCTCCCCCTCCAGGGTGGCCACCTTCGTCTTGAGGTCACTTGTTTCTACGGCAATCGAGAGAGAGAGGCCCTTCAGAGGCTCCCTTGGGCCTGGCCGGTGCCTTCACGCCCAGCGCACCCTGCAGCGTCGGGGCAGCCGGTGCTGTGTGGAGTGGCTGCCTGGGCCTGCAGAAGGTGCCAGAAGGCCTGGGCCCCCCTTCCCCCTCCTTCCTATTGGCTGGCTGCCAGGTCTCTACACGGCTCTGGGCCTCCACAGAGGTGACAGGCTCAGGAAAGTGACCTGCCCAAATCCCTCAGGCCTCCCACCACCAGCGGGCACTGGCTGTCTCTCTGCCTCAGCTCCCCCGGGGGTCCCACAGGGACACACAGGAGTGGGCGGATGAACTCCCCGGCTCCCATGCCCTCGGAGGGGCCAGCCCTGAGGCACGTGTTCTACACCACCAGCTCCAGTGCTCCCCGGTAGGATGAAGCTCCGGTTGCCTGCAGGGTAAGCAGCTTGCTGAGCTGCCTTCCCTCAGTGTCTCTGACCCCACTGCCTAGCCTGCGTTTCTTCACCCCAGCGATGTGTCCCTGCAGCCCTGCGCTAGGGCTGCAGCAGGGCCCGGGGACTACGGGCCCGGCCTCCGGGGCACAGACCTGTGAGCAGCTGCTGCCTGTTACGCCCCCACTCCACCAGCTGCCGTGCGGCCTCGTCCGCCTGTCGCCGCCGCTCCCTCTGCTCCTCCTGCAGGGCTTGCTCCAGCTGGCCCACCTGCTGCTTCAGCCCGTCCTTCTGCCCCTCGGCTTCTTCCAGCTGGGCCCTGAGTGGCCCAACAAGCTGACTGAGGGCCCCCACGTGCTTACTGAGGCGGGTCAGGTCTTTGCTCTGCTCTGCTGCCCAGTGGCCCACGGTGGCGGCCGGCAGCGGCCTGAGGCCCATGCTGTCCTGCACCAGCTGCTGGAACTGGCCTAAGGACGAGGGCAAGTTCTGGCTCTGACACAGGCCTATGAGCACCTTGCCCACCTCCCGCAGGCTGCCCTGGACGCTGGTGCATGCATCACAGGGCACCAGGGCCGTCTCCACCGTCTGGGAGTGAACGCTCCTCCTGTTCTTGGCAGTCCTGGCTGGACACTGCGGGGAGACTCTGACGGGGAGGCTGTCCGGCTCTTGGCAGGTCTGGGGCAAGCCTGGCGTCGGGGAGGGGGGCTTGATGAACTTGGCAGTCACAAATTCAGGGCTCCTGGCTGGCTCGCCCTTGGCTGTGGGCTTGGAGGTGAGGTTCTCCCCTTGGTTTACCCTTTTCTGTGGTCAGGAAAAGAAAGGGAGAGCAGATGAGGGAGATGGGCCTGGGAGGGGATCAGTTTCCTGGGGATTATTCTGTGCAGCCTCTCCTGATGCTCAGACCCTTAGAGGTTATCTGACACCAATGTGAACGAGAGAGAGAACCTTCTTTCTTCGCTGCCTCAACTTACCAAGCAGGCCAACTCTCTGCTGCCCCTGTCCCCCTCCCCAGGCTCCGTGCAGTTCCGTGCGTGGTACGAGAGTGTAACAGTGAAGCCACCAGCTCCGTGCTGGTTACGGGGTTCTTGCCCAGTGGACTTGCTTGTTCTCATGTCACCATAGCAGCTCTCAGTTTTCCTTTCCTCCCTGTTACAGTGATTGTGGTCCTCACGGGGATTTGTGAAGATTACAGGATAAGCCATAACAAATGGTGCGAACGTTTAACAGTATCACCCAACAACGCCCCGAGATGTAGAGACTGTTATTATTCCCACTGTACAGATGAACAAAGTGAGGAGCAGGGTAGGCTCAGCATAAACAGCAGAGCCAGGGAGCCCAGACATGACCCCCAAGGCCTGCATTGCTAACTGCGCGCTGCAGGGGCCTTGACTGGGAGGCTCCAGAGTTGACACTGTACCCCTTCAGACAGCGTGAGGCCAATGAAGGTGTGCACGCGTGGTGTGCAAGGAAGCTGGGACTGGGGCAGGGCGGACAGGTGTGAGGGTGACTAACCCACCTGGGGAGCTGCCTGCTGGTAGATCACACCCAGCCTCAGCAGGCTGTTCCAGAAGCGCCGCACCGTGAGCCCCACAGACATGCAGGGCCCCACAGCCCGGGTAGGGGGCACTGTCTGCTCCGAACCGAGGTCCTCCAAGAAGCTCGTGCAGCTCTGAAGCAGCAGCAGCAGCCTGCGGGCAGGGCGGCAGGGTCAGCTAGGGTAGAGCCTGGCACCAGCGTGCTGCACACCACACAACTAGCAGCCTCTGCTCTGTGGACCCGGGGGGCCTTAGAACATGCTCTGCTGGACCGGCTTCAAATCCAAGAGCCACTTCCTCCAGGAAGCCCTCCCTGAGGGCTGAACTTGGGGGCGTCTTCTGGGCCTCCTGGCTGACAGCACTTCCGCCTGGCTGTTCCCCACCACACTGGGATGCTCTGCCGACTGGGTCTCGCTTCAGTTGTCCTGCGCGTGCTCCGAAAGTGCTGGGTGGGTGGCGCCATTACATCACGTGGCTCAAGCCTTCACCTTACAGAGGACAGAGCTGAGCCCCTGGGAGCGGAGGGCCTGCCCACAGCCTCAGGGTGAGCATGCAGGGCTGGGGCGCCTGCAGCTTCCTGATTCTAGTCAGGGTCTTCTCCTGCCCGGCTAGCTGCTTCTGTGACATCGGAGACGTGAAGACAGCTAGGGGTCTATCCTGACTTCAGTGTTCAAAATTAGAGTCGGGCTACTTTTAAGGAAGAGAGGCATTAGAAGGACAAGTTTGTATGTGCATGGGAACCAAACTATTTTAAAGGAAGAGGTATTGTATTTACAAAACATACTGGGCAGGTAAGTGACCTTGTCTTGTTCCAGGTGCAGAGGGGTCATCCTAAACTCACTAGGGTCTTGGGCAGAAAAGGCCTGGGGGAGGAGACACCAACTGCCTCCAGGCCCTGCCCCTCGCTGAGCTGAGGTGTCTTCCTCTGTGAATGGGGACAACTGTGCCGGTTGCAGTGCTGTGGGCAGCACGGTGTGGGGCGGGGGGAGCAGGCGCCTGGAAAGAAGACAGAGCATGGTCTTGACAGAGGGGGTGGGAAGACATGTGAGCAACAGCTTCACAGGGGCATAGGGAGACTGGGCCTTGATGGATGAGTGGGGTTTGGCCAGACCAGGAAGGATGGGCAGGGCGTTCCTAGTAGAGGGCGGCAGGGAAAAAGCAGGTGTGTTCGGGGCGCCTGGGTGGCTCAGTCGGTTAAGCATCTGCCTTTGGCTCAGGTCATGATCCCAGGGATCATGGGATCGAGCCCCGCATCGGGCTCCCTGCTCAAGGTGGAGCCTGCTTCTCCCTCTCCCTCTGTTCCTCCCCGCCCCCCACTCATCTGCTCTCTCTCTCTCTCTTAAATAAGTAAATAAAATCTTAAACAAACAAACAAACAAACAAGAAGGAAGGTGTGTTCTGTGCTTATACATGTTTAGCCTCTCACGGGTTCCAAATACTTTCATACTGAGGGTGCCTCCATGCCTCTAGGTGGTTACCCTGGCTTCTTTGTCCCCAGGCAGGTCATGTCCAAACTGTCCTTGCCTGTCAGGTCTCCATGATTTCTGTGTATGGTTTTGGTCGCAGGGAACCTGGGTGGTGGTCCCCAGGAAGTGGAAGGCTGATGGCCATGTTAAGTTTAATGAGAGCGTAGAACTAGAGGGGCTGCGGGGCAATCTTCCCAACAGGGCCAGAATCTGGAAAAACACATCCCATGTGTGACCTTGTGACACACACTGGGAATGGCACAGCCCATAAGACACCAGGAAAAAGGGCCTGGGACGGAAACTCTGAGCAGCAGCTGTGGTGTCCCCAACGCACGGAAGGCCTAAGGAGGCGGCCAACAGAAGCTGGAGAGGTGGCCCTCAGAGCTGCAGTGCTGCAGAGACCAACAGGTCTCCCTGAGGGCAGACAGGAGGGGAAAGCACAGCACGCCACACAAGCTGAGATGGCAATGAAGGCCTTGAGGTGGCAGGCCTCTGGATCCCTGCTGGGGGCGGGAATTCCCGAGGCTGGTCTACCGGTTTAAGGGGCAGATGCCAGCATCCCGAGATCACCAGGTTCGGTCAAGGCCCTCACCTGTCGATGACCAGCTCCAGCAGAACAGCATGGGACAGCTGCGTGAACTCGGGGTCACCCGGCACATGGTCATAGTGCTCTAGCAGGGCCACCATATCCAGGTCGCAGGCCACGCGGTCAGGGAACTTCCAGGAGGGAAAGCGCACAGGCCCGGCTCGAGAGAACACATCCACGATGGCGCCCTGCAGGTCAGTAAGGTCCTTGCGCAGACTGTCCATGCAGGACTGGCTGCCCAGCAGGTACGCCATCCTCGGGGCTCCTGGGGTGAGCAGAGAGGGTCCCCGTTAGCCAGAGCCATGTGGCTGCTGCTGGAGGAAACTTCCTAAAATCCCGCTCTGCCCAGTCGCTCCTAGGCCAAAAGTCCAACCTAGACCCTGGGGAGAAGTCTTTCCCGGGCCCAGGCCATGGGCCCATACCTGGTACTGGAGAGACCTCACCATAATCCCGCTCATCCACCCTGCCCCACGTCTACACTGCCAGTTCCCTCCGAGGGCCTGTGTGTGCCAGACCCCTGCTAAAGGCTGGGCAGATACAGCTATGAATAAGAAGCACCCACAGTCCTTTTCTCCCTGAGCAAACCATTGACTAGGCAACTGACGACTAAGAGAAAGTTGTAGCTACAGCGTGACAGGACAGTGCTGGATCCTGCTGGATCTCCCACCTGGACCACCGCAGCTGTCTCTGGCAGGGCCGCAGGGCTGCCCCCTCCAAATGACACACTTCAGCTCTAGAGATCTGGCCCAAACCGGATCTGATCAGGTCACGCTGGCCAACGCCCCTCACGACTCCTAAGGGAGAAAGGCCACCTCTGGCCGCAGTCTCCCCGCAGCCCTCTCTGGTCCCCACGCCACCACCCCACACTCTGCATTCCAACCCCCGTCAGCTCCAAGCAGCAGCTCAGGTGCAGGCGTTCATTTCTGAACCTGGGCCCATCTGTCCGTTCTGTCTGAAACACGCTTTCCTCATCCAATTCCCATCTGCCTAATTCCTCCCATCCTTCGGGCTTCCTGGATATCACCTCCTCCAGGAAGCCTTCCCTGAGCACCCTCCAGGCTAGGTGAGATCATCTCTCTGGGCTTCCCCACATCTGGGCCCTGATCCCTCTCTGCTGGAATGGCCTCCACGCTCCAGGCCAGGTCCCCAGTCCACCTTAGCCACTGTGGTATCCCCAGTATGGCCAGCCTAAGGCCTGGCCCATGCTAGAGGCTCACTGGCAAGTGAATGACTGAGTAATTGAATAGAGAAATTGAAAAGAATCCACAAAGAAAAATTTAAATACATTGATTTTGGAGGGGGGAAACAAGTGTTAAGGTGTAAGAGAGAAAAACCTGAAAATTTGTATCCATACCCAACCTAATCACTCTGGTGATAGGGGGCCCATTATATGTGAATGCAGAGAGTCCCAGTCCTGCCTTTTCCTGGCTGTGTGGCCTCAGGCAAGTCACTGTACCCCTATGAGCCCTAGCTGTCTCAGTTGTAAGATGGGGACACGATCCCCAACCAGGCCGGGTAGTTGTGAGGTCATTAAAGGCATCCAAGAGTAAAGTGCTTGGCGCAGGGCAAAGACACCAGTAAAAGTGCTCGGGCAGTAGGGACCATTAGTCTAGTGATTACTACTCTTAGCAGTAGCAACAGCAAAGACCATCCTTGTCTGTAGCCACTGCCTGCCTTCTGTACGTCCCCTTTTCCCCCTGCAGCCCACACAGAATGCTTCTCGTCCATCTCTGGAGTCTGTGGACATCTGAAGCCAATGATTTGGATGAATGGCCCCTGGTCCTTGACTCAGAAGGTGGAGAAGCATGACACTGTCCTGGCCCCTCCAGTGGCTCATCACAGGCCTTGCCAGTGTCACCCTCTTCTCTCTGTTCAAAGCTGGGCAGCCCTGGTCTCTCCCCACCCTGCAGCAGGGTCTCTTGTCCTTTGTGGATTTCTCAGCAGCAGAAAGTGCTTTCTTGTACCACAGCTCCTCCCTGCAGTGTGGGGGCTGCGTGGGCAGTATTTAGGCCATGGTCGGTCTCTCTGATCCCCAGCAAGTCCAGGCCTGGTGGAGGAATCTCTCTTCCTCCGACCTACTTCCAGCTCAACCTCACTCATCCCAGAAAATGGCACCCCGACTATGTGCAACGGGGCACTTCCTCGGATTCCCTTCCTTTACCCCCATCCAAGCACCTAGGGCTGCCAATCCCATGTCCAGACCACACTGAGAACCCACCACTGTGTTCGCCGTGCTGTTCCCTACTCCATCTTCTCCCCAGACTACTGCCACAGCCTTCTGAGGGGTCACCCTCATCCTTCTGCCCAGCACCACCTCGTCTGTCTGTATATGGCCAGAGAGATCATTTAAAAGGCAACTCACCCCCCTGCTTAGAGCCCTTGAATGGCTTTCTATAGAATAAACACTGGAACACTTCCCTGGGTTCTGGCCCTGGGTGGTCTGTTCCCACCTCAGCATCTTACCACCCAGAATGTGCCTTTTCCTCCCCACACTTCCTCCAAATAACACACCTCCCACAGGTCCCCAGGCCAGGTGAGTTCACCTGTTACATATTCTCAGAGCATTCTGTTCTTTTCCCTCCCAGCATACGCCACACTGGCACTGAATTATTATTTGAGTAATTATTTGCAGTTGGCAATCTGTCTCCCTACAAGTGCATGGACTGTCTTTTGAGTTCATTGTGGTATGACCTGGCCACGTGGGCCAAAGGACTTGAGGGCCAGCTGCTGCCCACAGGTCCTGGACACTCAAAGGCACCCAGGGGTGATTCCTGAAGACTGAGCCAGCCTCTCAGGCCTCCCAGAGGACTGGGCCCTGGCCTCACCTCTGCGCAGGTGCCTGCCTGTGAAGCTGGATGTCTGGCTCTCAGGCTAGCCTGTGGGCTCTGGGGCTCAGGTCAGAGGCTCATCCAGGTGCCTGGTTTTCTGTCTCCAGTGCAGGGCTGGCCCCGAGTAGCTCTTCAATCCCTGAGAATGGATGAAGGCAAGAGTGAGTGAGTGGGCAATTAGGGAGGCTTCCTGGTGGGGCAGGGAGGAGGCTGTCCCAGAAGAAGGAGAGGGTGTCCCGGGCTGGAGGAATGGACCAAGGGAAAGCTCATGTGGGGTCATCTGTCTTGAGCCTGAGCACAGAGGTTGTGCTTTAACAGTGCTAGGCTCTGACCACAGAACCTACTGTGTGCTACTTCCTGAATCTACCTCCTTTATACAGACGAGGAAACTGAGGCTCTGGAAATTAGGGGATTAACTCAGGGTCACTCAGAGAGCTAGGATTCTTGAATCCAACATCTCTGCTCTGTCTTCAGGCCATGATGCTTCTAGGGCAGCACTGTCCAAAAGGAATATAATGCTAGCCACACGTGGGATTTTAAATTTTCTACTAGCCACAAAAAAATAAAAAGAAATGGGTAAATTAAATATTTTATTTAACCTAATAAACCCTAAATACCATCACTTCAACATGAAATCAATATAACACCATTAAGGAGATTATTTTACAGTGTTTCCTCCATTCAGTCTCAAAATCCAGTGTCTCTCTGATACTTACAGAACATCTCAGTTCGGACCAGTCACCATTTTCAAGTGCACCACCACATGGATGGGTGGCCACCGTACTGAACAGTGCAGGTATAGAGGGTCAGATCCTCTGTGTTCAGTAAGCAAATGATTACTGCGTACCTTTGACATCCTGGGCACCGTGTCAAGAAAAGCGTCAGAGAAGGCCATGCAGAGCCCTGTCCCTAGGAGCCACTGTCTACCTCTGAGGATCTCTACAGGGGGCAAGTCTTTGGTATGTCAGCTCTGTCAGTTTCACCCACAGGGCCAAGAGTATCTACCCTACAACACTCACAAACACACACAGGCCCACATCCCTGTACACATATGTCAGTGTCAGACTCTTGTGAGATATTGCCACTTGTGAGATTTTATATCCCCAAGGAATGAGGCAGAAACAAACGGAAAAAACAGACTGAAACAGTCTGGGTTTCCTTCCTGGAATGGGAGGGAGGAAAGCAAGCAAGCAAGCAGGCAAGCAGTCCCGCCCTGGGAGGAGGCATATTCAGGTGGCAAAGCACCTAGGACTCGGGAGATTGTCTGTGAAGACATCGAGAAACACGGACCTGTTCACCCTCAAATAACTACAGCTGCCATCTGGGGCCATCCGAGATACCAATTCCTGTTAGATTCTGGTTCTGATAAGCAACCACAAATGCCAAAGCATCAATAATATGTAAGAGGAAAACACAACCTTGAAAAACATCCAAGGTTACCTTATGTCATTTCTTCTGAACATTGGGATTTGCCGTTATAAACATGGCTTGAGAACCACTTCAGTGTGTGGCAAGTGAAGGAGCATTTGTAATTCTTTTCTCTGTAATTCCTGGGTCTTGAGTGGAACCCTCAGCCTAAAGCTGCTAACCCTGCACTGACTATTCCTGAGATCGTATGGGTGATGGCACTAATTGGGCCAACACTGCCCTGAGGAAGGAGCAGCCCCTAACTCTGCCCTCTCCTCAGTTCCCTCATGCTCAAGATGGACTTCTGACTTGCAGAATAGGGAAGGAGTCTTTCCTCCACTCCCATTCAACATGCAAGCCCCTTCTTTCTCTGAGTCATAGGACTCTACCCCTCTGGTAATGATTAGGCCTACCTCCTGGCCAGTGTCCCTGCTGAGATTCAAGGTCACCACCATGAAAACACTTTGGAAACTCTGAAACCATCTATAAATCCCAGCTGTCAGCCTCTGACTCAGGACTGCTAATTGCCTGGATCCCTGGGGACAATGAAGGGACTGAGTGAAGACAAAGGAATAAGTAGCTGCACTAGTAGAGGAGTAAGAATGGCCTGGGTTTGGATTCCCACGCCACCAACTCTGAACTTCACTGTCCTCATCTGTAAATAAATTGCTATTAGAAATTAGTGATGTAGGGAAGCCTGGATGGCTCAGTTGGTCAAGCTCAGTTCATGATCCCAGGGTCCTGGGATGGAGTCCCGGCTCCTTGCTTAGCCAGGAGCCTGCTTCTCCCTCTGCCTGCCACTCCCCCTGCTTATACTCTCTCTGTCTCTCTGACAAATAAATAAATAAAACTTAAAAAAAAAAAGAAATTAGTAATGTAATGCATGTAGTGTTTGGCACAAGATCTGGCCAGGTAAATGTTCAATAAATCCTAGCTATCATTATCATTCTGTTAATAATTACAACAATGACATAAACCAGCTATGAAGTGTGTGTGTGTGTGTGTGTGTGTGAAAAAGAGATGGGGTAAGACACTTGGGAGGGCATCTCTTCCTATCCCGCCTCCATTTCACAGGTGAAGAAACTTAAAACTATCCAGGCAAGGGCTAAAAGCCGGCGGGCAGTCTGCAGCGGGGATGGAGGGGAGAGGGGACAAGGAGGACAGGATCTCAGAAGAGGAAATGCGAACGGCGAGATTCGAGGTGAACTCGGGGAAGCTAGGGAAGTGGTCAGCAAGAACGTACCTTTGGGAAAGAGGGATGGAGCTTAAAAAAGTCTTGATTCGAGACTGTCCGCGGGGCTTGAGGGCGGGGCTATGGAAGGCAGAGGGTGGAACCTAGAAAAGGCAGTCCCACCGTTAAAAGGACCAGTGGGAATTAGGCCTTGGGACTTAGGACTTGGGAAGGGGATCCGGAGGAGGTAGACGTGAAGCGAAAGAAGAGGTTAAGGAAGGAGGGAGGCCGGACTTTGAGGAGGCAGGCTGGAGGGGAAGGGACTCTCCAAGATGACAGGCCAATGGGAGGGAGAGACGAACCCACCTTTGGAGTAAAGGAGAGGGGGGCCAGGGCCGTGGGGTGTGTGTGAAGAGCGTCCGGCGGGTGATGCAGAACGTCTTCCCAGTCTCCTGCGTCCCAGCCTCAGCCCTTGTGGTCTGGTCGGCTCATAGAACTGCCCCTGGCGCGCCTGCGTCTCCGGGGATCCCCCACAAATCCTAGCCGGGTGCCTCGACCGCTGCCATGGCAACGGCGTCTCGCGCAGACGGCTCCAGGGCGGGGGCGGGAAGTTGCATCACGAAGAAGGGGCGGTCCCGGAAGTGCGTCAGCTTTCCCTCCTCGGCGACGACTCTGTCGGCCGCCGCCATCTTGCGAGCTTGTCGTATCGGCTGTGCGGGGAGCTGCTTTGACGCAGCACCGCTCACCTTCAGCGAGGCGGACTGGCAGCCCTGAGCGTCGCAGTCATGCCGGCCGGACCCGTGCAGGCGGTGCCTCCGCCGCCGCCCGCGGCCACCGAGCCCAAACAGGTACCGCGACCCCCGCACCTCGACCGGCAGCCCGATCCTCGGCCCGTGCCTCCCCTCCGGCGCGGGCGCTCTTTACTCATGCAGAGAAAGAAGCGGCCGCTTACGAGGGTTCGGAGGGACTGCAAGTCCCAGGAGGCAGCGCGCTTCCCGCTCTGCTCTGCCTTCTGGTAGCAAAAGAAGCGCTCTTGGAACAGTGGTTCTCAAAGTGTGGTCCGCGGATCAGCAGCATCAACGTCACCTGGGAGTTTATTAGAAATGCCAGACCTAAATACTAATGCATTTTAACAAGATCTCAAGGTGATTGATTAAAGTTTGAGAAGCACTGATCCAGCCCATCCGCAGGTTTTCTGTGGTTATTGGGCCCACCGTCGTGTCCTCCCCCAGCCCGCCGGTTTTTGCCCAGTAATGCCTAGTTTCCCAGCCTGTACGGTACATTTTTGGTAATTAGCATCTGCTCGGTGCTTATCTAAGCCAAACACCGTGCCAGGCTCCGACTTACCCAGAGTGAATGAAGCACAACTAGTTTAGGGAGCTCACAGTTCTAAGTGAGAAGATAGATACAAGTGAATATTCTACTATTGCTTCGATCACCATAAATGATACCAGTTAGCACTTAAATTAGCTGAGGGGGAAAGAGGTGTGTAAATAATTGCAGTATGGTGTGATAGGCCCTATAAGTATCAGATACAGAGGAAACTAATCAACATTTTTTTGATGGAGTGAAGGGGAAATTAAAGTAGGTAAATTGCTTTTAGAGGGATGAATTAGTAGTTTGCCATTCAGGTGATTGGAAAAGGCTAACAGCATCCTTTATTCATTAAGCAAACATTTATTGAGCACATATTGTATGGTGACCCCTGCTTTGGGTTCAGAATACAGAAGAGGTCCATACCCTTACCACAGATACTTTAAGTACATCTGTATCCCTGGCATTTTCCCAGTCACTTGGGGAAAAGTAAATGAGTTAATACCAGATAATTGCTAAGACACCAGGGTAGGAATCAGATGGTGTCTCTGGTCAAGAGTAAATTAAAAAGTGTTGTTGAAGCATAGGATTGGGAGAGTGGTGGCAAAAGATGCATTTTGGGGCATTTTAACTTTTCCTAGTACACAGTGGGGAGAAAGAGAAGAGTTTGAAGCTGCATAATGACATTTGTGTTTCAGAAATTCAGGTAGCAGGTAGTGATGAGAATTGCTAGGAGCACAGTTACTCAAAAGATGCTGAGGGCCTGCCCTAGATGTGAGGGGTTGGGACAGAGTGGATGGGCAAGCTCAAGTCACAGAATGGCTGGTGTTGCAGACTCTCCAACTAAAGTGATGTGTTGGAATCCTGGTTCTGCCATTTGGGCCAGTTAAGCTTTACGTTCCTCTGTTTTGTCGTCTGTAAAATGGGGGTAATGAGTATTCACATCATAGGGCTCTTATAAGGGCCATAGAGTTAATATATTTAAAGTTCTTAGAGAAGTATATGGAACCTACTGCGTGTTTGATAAATATTATCATTGAATGTGGAGGCCGAGGAAGGGAGAGGAGGGCCATGTTTTTGGCCTGGGTGACAGTGCATGGTTGGCCATTCATGAGGAAAGCGGTTAGAGAGGAAAGTGCCTGGAAGTCAGCTGGATCTAGAGTTCTGTGACACGTTAAGAATGATCTGAGACGTCAGTTTGGGGGGATTGTTCAGCCTAGAGGTGGTAGGGGAAGTAAAGGACATAGTTGTGAGTGCCTGAGGACAGTGTGAATACTGGAGAACAGAATTTTCGGGAACCCTAACATAGCGCAGGAGTTGGGAACCCTAACATAGGGCAGGAGGTGAAACAGGAGCCAGGAAGGAAACTTGAATGGTGAGCAAGAAGGAAAGACACAGGAGAATGGGGCATGGGAGTTGAGTGGAGAGTTTTGTGAAGGAATGGTCACTGGTCACATGACCAGGTGACTGCTGTAGTTGGCTGTAGGCAGTCATGTTTGACTTTGGCAAGAGCACTTGAAATGGCAAGTGCTGAGAAGTACAGTTCTCAGGGAGGTGAGGAAGTGGGAATGGCAAGGCTGAGAAAATTCAGGATATTTAGCTACTAGAGGAAGAGGGGGAGAGCATAGCAGCAGGAAAGAATATGAGGGCAGGGAACTGCTATTTTTTTAAGATGAGAGACTGACCCTTTGTTTACTAAGAGGAAGAAGCTGGTGAAGAAAGAATATTGGAACTTGTGGGACAGATGATGTTGTATATTCCAGTGGGGTTTCACAAAACATTTGAGCATTGAGTGGTGGTTGTGACTAGAATAGATGCAGAGGGAAAGGGCATAAGGAGCTGCCAGTGAAGAGTTTCCTGTCTTTATTCAGCAAATAGTCGTTAATTATCCCGTGCCAGGCACATCCCTGGGTACAGACATGGCCTTCTGGATTCTGGAAGATGGTTTCTTAGAATGCGGTCAGACACCCCCCCCCCCCGCCCCCATCTGAATCATCTGGACACTTGGTAAAAATGCAGATTCCCAATGTCACTGAGAGCAGCTAGCTAGGGGGTGCCACGGAGGCTGCTCTTTTCACTGGTTCCCCAGGAGAGTCCTGTGCAAGCACAGTGCAGTTAAGAGAACCACTTTTCTGGAGCAGAGGGTCCTAACTCGAGGAAAGTCCATGGGAGAGAGTCTTTATTCTCAATAAATTTTAGAGGAGTTTGACAGTTGGGATCCAGTCCCCCAGGCCAGGAACTTCAAGGCATTATTTTCCTTTTCTTGTTTTCACAGCCCACAGAAGAGGAAGCTTCTTCAAAGGAGGATTCTACCCCCTCCAAGCCAGTGGTGGGAATTATTTATCCTCCTCCAGAGGTCAGGAATATCGTCGACAAGACTGCCAGCTTTGTGGCCAGGTAACATAGCTGCTTCTGCGTTGTCAGCCTAGGCCCATGAGCTCATCTAACACTACAGCATGGCGGTGAGGTGGGCCATGGGCAGGATTGATGTCTCCAGCATTTCACGGCAGTGGCAGAATGTGAGTCACACCCAGCCCCAGAGTCACCAGGAACCTGTGCTTCCAAAATAGGCCTGAGGAAGTGCCTAGGAAGCTATTTTGTCACAGAGAGTATGTGTGTCTGTGTCTGAGCTGCTGATTGGAGGAAGACATAAAAAGGGAGTTGGTCATTCTCATTATGCAAGAACTATACTTCTCTGAGCTTCAACTGACCCATCTGCAGAATGGAATAAAATACCACCTCAGAGTTGTTGAGAGGCAGGAGAGAGGGAATGGGACTGAGTGCAGTTCAGGTACATGATACAAGTGTCAGCTGTCTTCGTGGATGACATGGAAGTCAGTGCGAGTTCCTCGCGTCCTTCCCCATCATATTTTACATGCTCCCACTTCCTCAGATGGAATCCTCTTGATGGCCACTTGACTCCAAAGGTCAACACATCCCCTAGTTTAAAGTATTTAAAGTATTCTTTTGGCAGTCAACAGGCCATATGCAGCCTATAGAGCTTTTGTTTGTCCTCATGATATATATTTTTTTAAAGATGTATTTATCAGGGAGGGAGGGAGAGGGGTGGGGGGTTGGGCAGAGGGAGAGAATTTTAAAGCAGACTACCCACTGAGTGGGGAGCCTGACACAGGGCTCGATCCCAATACTCATGAGATCATGACCTGAGCTGAAACCAAGAGTCAGACACTCAACCACCTGAGCCACCCAGGTGCCACATCACAATATATTTTTTTAAACTTGAATAAGTTGCCACCATTTAAAAATGAGGAGATTGGGGTGCCTTGGCTCACTTGGTTAAGCAGCTGCCTTCGGCTCAGGTCATGATCCCAGGGTCCTGGGATCGCGCCCTGCATCAAGCTCCTTGCTTGGTGGGGAGCCTGCTTCTCCCTCTCCCTCTGCCTGCTACTCTGCCTGCCTGTGCTCTCTCTTTCTGTCAAATAAATAAAAATTCTTTTTTTTTTTTTTAAGATCTTATTTATTTGACAGAGACACAGCGAGAGAGGGAACACAAGCAGGAAGAGCCACCCAGGTGCCCCAATAAATAAAAATGCTTTTAAAAAAAATGAGATTGCACAAAAAATCTGGATTTCTGTCTTTTGTCAACGAACTGGACAGCTCGTTGCAGATAAGCAGTTGCTGGCCTAGAATACACTGCTGCCCTCAGTCAAGACATGTGTTCTCCAGAGGGCCATGCCTTGACCGCAAGGCAGTATCCCCATCACAGTACATCATTTTAATAGAGGGTTCCTTCCTTTCCCAACCTAATAAAATGAAACATAGAAAGAGGTTATTCTGCCTGAGGCCTTTTGCTTATTGGGCTCCATGCAGATTCATATCCTCACATTTCAAAGGCTTTGATTAATCAGGGTATTGCATTAAATCTCTGTGCTTGGTTGAACAGTGTCAGGTTTAGGGCAGTAAGTGTTGTGTTTATGATAAATGTTTAATGTCTCATAGCAACGCTCATGCTTCCTTTTTCGCCCTGATAATTTAAAAACAGAGTAACTAGGAAAAGGGTGTTAGAGGAAGAATCACCACAGTCTCACTACCAGAATAGTTTCTACCAGCTGTTTTCACTTTCCTGTTTCCTTCTGGTCCTTAATGTCCTTTTTTAGATCCTTGTAATACTAGTAGATACTTTCACATCCTGCTTTTCCCTTTTGTGCTGTGTTATAAGCATTTTTCCGTGTTGTTCTACAGTCCTCTGATACTGCACCGTCCTCGGTGCACCATGTTGAGGTGATGGACCTCCCTTGACTTGGCTGTCTCCTCTGTATTTTCCTTCAAGGTTGTTTCCAACATTTCAATTTGGCACACAAAGCTGTGGGGAAATCTGAGCATCTTCTTTCCTTTCTAGATTGTTTTCTTAGAAGAAAATTCCATGTGGCACATTACTGGCTGAAAGAGCATTTTTAAAGATTTTCTTAAACATTTTGCCAAGTAGCTTTCCAGTGATTTTGTGCCAACCTCTGCTGCCACAGAAATGAGTATCCAAGTTTTCTTAAAAATGTGTGCATCTATATTTTCTAGATTTATTTTTGGCTAAGGTGATTGCTTTATAGGCATTTTTAAATATCTGTGGACTT